AATACTCTCACAATTAATACTTTTGCACACAGATCACTTATGACCATATGAAATACTTATGTAATTCTGTCAAGAAGTACTATAATCAAATTAGACTGCTATAATCACCATTTGAGGCACCCCATGCCAGACAGAAAATGAAAATTTCTATATTCTCGGTACCCCTGCAGGAACTGTGGTCCCTGCCTACTATCCCACCTCGCTCATGCCACACTTCATGTGTTCACACATTCCTATTTCATAGGCCGTTACCTGGGATAGCTGTCACGGTAGATGAGGGTAGGAGCAAACAAGAAGTACAAGTACTGGTTGACTGTAGGTACTGGAACAGTGCCTAGAAAAGGAGAACTATACTTAGATCAGAAGCTCTTTGATTTCTCTCAGTAAAACTAAAGGAGAAAAATAAGGAAGCACAGAACAGGGAAGAATAACATGACGTCTCTTAGCTCACGTTCTTTCTTCCTGATCTCCTAAAAGGACCTCCTATTCTTGCATTAATTGAATATTACCAATCTATCTAAACTAAGTTATTCTTGTGACTGAGATAACTTCTAGAGTGTGAAACAACAATTTGCAAAAATTAAGCAGGCATAGGTATAATGAGGCAAAGTTACAAAAGAGTCTACTGATCAATTTTTTAAAATTATAGGTTCAAAGGCAAAACAGGAATAGTGAGGAAACAGTGAGATAATCTTCCAAATCAATATAGATCCTATATATTTAAAAATCAAACATAACCTCTACATTATATAATGTGCCATCCTAGTAAACACCAAAGGTTGAAATATCCTGTCAATAATCCTTTAACTTAATTAAAGTACATACTTGATTTCTCCTTAGCAGAATTTAGAACCCGAGGCACATTCTCTCTGACAAATGAATGGGCCTTCATTATTAAACGAATCTACAAAAGGAAGAGAGGAAAAAAAGATGAATTTTCTATCATTGTCTCCTATAAGCAACTTCAGAACAGCATTAGATTTACACAAAAGAACTTAATTTTGCATATACCAAACCAAGTTCACTTTTAC